AAAAAAAGGAACCCCAAGTTAGTTTTCAGTGAGGTAATTCAAATTATGAGGTCTGCAGCCCCCAAAAGGGCTCCTTTTTCGAATATCCAGCCTTGTGGAGGGGGCCCAAGGTGGAAGCCACTGCTACGCTGAGCCGCAAAGAGGGGCCCTCTTCTGCTTATCAAGCTTTGGGGAGGGGCCCAACTTCCCAAACATGGCTGGGTGGGACTGCAGCACAGAAGGGGGGCCTATCAGGGGAGAGTGGGACTGTCAGGTGGCCCCCTTGCCCCAACTGAGTTGGGCGTGCAATTTTGGTACAAATTTGCCCCCAGATGAGAGACCCCTGGCTTATTCAATGTTTTTTTTTTCAAAACCAATAGGATATTCCACCACCACAGTCGAGGAGCCAATTGGGGATTAATCTGGCAATCTACAGGTTACCTGTAAGTCCTGGCTGTTTTTTAAACTTGAGGTTGCTCAGATCCAAGCATACATATTAACATGCATGACACCCCCCCCCCCCCTTTCATCCAGAAAATGGCCACAGGTAGTGATCAATCACGTAAGATGTTCCTTAACTTTTACTTGAATTTTGCCACTGGACCACAATTCAATTGGCCCAAGCTGACACAAGTGGTACTCAATCCCTTCAATCCCTTAGGTTTGGACCTTTACATGAAGGCACAGGAGCTGGATAGTCACCCGGCATTGAAACCTAAAGAGCAGGCGCACGTGAAATCCCTCTTGGCACTTATCAAGGCAGATATTGAGAACTCTGATGACGAGGGTGACGATGAACGTAGAGCGGAATCCGATGCAACCCAGCTGGCGAACGACCTCCCTCCCTCGAGTGCTTCTCATGAGAGCACACTCAGGGTTACTAGTATGCCTGCTGTGCAGAGCCTGCATGGTGATGCTCCTATCTCTCATCCACAATTGGATTTGTCCTTACCAGCCCGTCCGAACTTTGACACCCCAACTCCCATACACGAAGACCGTCAGTACGGCCTGTTTCGGTCAATGGCTGTGCCCAAGGTCCTCGCTCGCACACCTTGTCCATCCTTTGGCGAATTCTCTAGGGTTGATAAGACTCCTGTTGTTGACAACGGGTTCCCCAATGTACTCAATCCGGCCTATGCCAACATCCCGGACAATTCCCCTGGACGTAAAAACAGCAGAGGAGAGACATCTTATTTGACGGAAGAAGGAGATCGGTTTCTTGATTCTGTTATGGCCAGTGTCAACCAAAATCAAAATCTCTCTCCTGCGCAAGGAAACCCAGTCCCGCCGGTACCCACCCCCCCAGCTGATAAACAACCGCCTCCTGCTATACCTAAGCGGCAATCCGAGCGTCCAGTGGTGATTCGTGAGCGCCAGGAGCGGCGGCCAAAGTATCGATTCTCTACCGTCATACTCGAAGGCATTGAAGACAATCATACTGGGAATTCGAGAAAGAACAGAAATAGGGTGCCCGACTCTGAAGAGGATGAAGCTGATGATCATGGACATTCAAAGAAATCTAGGGTGGACGACGACTCTGAAGAGGACCCTGATGCTGAAGGAATTCCGGACGATGGCGAGTGGTTTCAGCCCACCCAGCAGAAGCAACAAGTCGCAGTTATTCTTGACCACGGAATTGGTCATCCAGCACAATTCCGAAGCGGCCCAACACAGGAGGCAACCCCGCGTTATCATCCCTTGGTGGACGATTTTATATCCTTGGAGTTGATGAAAGGGATGAGCATTCCCCGGAACCCGAGTCAGGGCTGCAGCAGCCAGCTTGCTGGGGGAGGAAATAAGAGGGGTGTTGGAGGGGAAATACCTGAGAACAGATCTGGCCGTGCTCCATGTGAGTTATTGCTAAAAATGCCTGCTGACTACTTACTCCCCACGGTAAAATCAAATTTATCCACGTCAGCTGATGTCAATACCCCATCAGAAGCAATTCCAGCGTCATTCTCCAATCTAACAGCTGAGGATGAGGCCTCCATAGGCGGATCACTTATAGATTTGCCTGCTGACCACCAGGCCAAGATCCGAACATCAGTCCAAACAATTCACAAAGAAGCAGTTGACCAAGAAAAGAGGACCAACCCTTGACAACCGTCAAATTATCACCAGCCATGTCAAGATCCGGCAAGCCTGTCAACGTCGAATCAACAAGAAGAATATCCGGCCGTCCAGGAGAAGCAGTCCCAGGATCTAAATGGTCGGTCGTGATGCCCACAGTGACATGTTGTTCAGGGTGAGCAGCAACATCAGGGGCTTGCATATTTGATGACAAGCAGTTATCCAAAGCCAACGCGCCCGCTGGGCCCGACAGCAAAGCATCCACAGGGGCCAGTGGGAGGGGGGTGATGTCCTCCGGAACGGGTGGGACAAAGCTTGATCGAACCTCCTGGAAATTAGCCGATGGGTCGCCCAAGTCCCAACATGCGTTTTCCCAATCACCCACTGGGTCCGCAAGGTTGCGCTGGTCAGAGTTAGACCTCTCGTATGCAGCCGGGTGTTGTGAGTTAGATCTTTTCAATGCTGCCGGGTCTTGAGTTGTGATCTCGCCTGGGCCATGTGGTCTTTCGAGCTGTACAGGTCTTGGACCAAATTGAACAGGAGGATCACTTGGTTCCTGGCGGGACTCATAAGTTCTGTTGGATTGGAACCCCACATTGATTGGTTCATGAGGGGCGTAAGCAATCTGGGACGGATGCGACGTAACAGCGCGACCTGGGTGGGAACCATAATTGATGGAGGGGTTCTGCGAATTTGTCTCAAGCGGCCAATAATTCGGATGAGCGTTGTGAGCGAAAGAGATTGGAGCATGCTGGGGAGGGTACATATGGAAGGAGGGATGGTGATAGTACTGAGGGACTGGTGGGTGCATGGGGGCCAACTGCAAATGGGGAGGGGCCAAGTAGGGGTGATGAGGATGAATGGTGTATGCGGGGGCTGAGTGATGGAAGGGTGTCGCTGTGGTGCCATAATTATTTGCCGCCGGGTAGCCCGTATGTGGCGGGCCTGAGTAGACCATTGGTTGATGACTGGAATAGTCCATCAACTGCTCCCTGGGGTAGTTGGCAAACATAGCACCAGGATGATCACGGCCAGCTGGGATCTGTCGCGGATGAGCCGAAGAGGGGTCTATTTCCCCAGAGCCGTGGGGCACTTGAGTGCCGGATTGGACTTGCGTGACGGAGAAGTCCTGACCTCTGGAGTGATCTCTGCTGTGCGGGTTGTGCCCAGAGTAGGCAGCATGGTGGATGCCTGAGGCCAAGTGGGTCGGTTGGCTAGCTCGGATGGATCCATCGGGGAGGTTCATCGGGTGGCCAGAGTTGTTACCGCCACTTGATGAAGAGGTATTGCGATTCATTTCTCAATGCAGCTAAACCAAAATGCAAACATAAAAGGATCAATCACAACCATCTTGTCAGCTGTATTTTGTTATAGAGCTGGAATTCCAGCCATGATGACATACACAGCCAAATGGGATGAAATCTGCCCGTTCTCCAGTGATTCAAAGGGCCTCGGACACACTGGTATGGTGTGAATTGTGGGCAAATACAAATCAAAACAGTCAGTTAAAGTGATCTTCATGTGCTGGGGCCCAGGAAACACCTCAGATTATGACCCATTGGGCCCCCCCACCAGGCTGTGTAGCCCCAATGTGGCCCACTTTGGGGCCATTGAGTCGATCTGACCCATTGGCCCCCTTCAGTGTGCCAGGGAACCCCTTTCTTCCTATATTTGGCCAATATTAGGGTGGGCACTTAGGCCTTGGAACAAGGCCTCTGGAGACCCAAAAAACCAGGTTCCTCGGGGTAGAGGGAAGCCCTCTTGGCCAAGATAGGAGCCCTTGGACCCCTTTTCCAGCCTGCTCAGCCTGCCAGGGAGCCCATTTGTGGGCTTTTTGGGGGGGTTGAGACCCAAAAAAACAGAATCCTCACGTTTTTTTACCCCAGATACCCTTTTTTTGGGTGCCGGATCGGATCGGGTCGGGTCGGATCGGATCGGATCGGATCGGATCGGTGAGTGAGCGGGCGTGCGTGTGTTTACTAGGGATTTGCGGGTTTTGGGGGTTCAGGGGTCGCTCGGGGTGCTCGGGTGTTCCTCGGGTGCTCGGGTGAGTGGCGTTGGTTGGGTCTGGGTCGATCGATGGGTGATCGGGTTGGAAGTTGGTGGTTGGTGGAGGAAAAAAGCCGTCGGAGATCGGACCGACTGGTCCGCCATCAGGATTGGCCCCGATTCGCGGGGCGGGGCCCGTTTACCCCGACCCCGGGAATCGATTTACATATCCCTGTAGGGACCCAGGCCTGGGTCCTACAGGGATCTTCAAGGCCATCGGCCAAGGTTTGAACCTTGACCGATGGCCGTCAGGGTTCAAACGAAGGGAATCCTGTAGACCCAGGCCTGGGTCCTACAGGGATCTTCAAGGCCATCTGTCCAAGGTTGGAACCTTGGCCGATGCCCGTCAAGGTTCAAACCTTGAACCCATGTCGGTTCAAGGTTTGAACCGGACGGACGGTCTCTCCATAGGACCCATCCCTGGGTCCTATGGGATATGCCTCGACCTAAACCCATATTCATATGGGTTTAGGTCGAGAATATGGGATGTAGGCTGCACGCCTGCCTGCAAGCGATGCAGCCTCGCTTAACGGTTGGCGTGCAGCGTCGCACGCCAATCGTAATTGGCGTGCGGACCCGCACGCCAACCTGCTGGGGTAGTGCCCGCGCAGGGGGCTGGCGTGCAGGTCCGCACGCCAATTTCGATTGGCGTGCGGTCCCACACTCCATTCAGGGAAGGGAGTGTGGGAGTGTGTGTGCGAAGGGGGGTGGAGTGTGATTATCACTCCCCATATGTACGCTTGCATTGAACATTCGCACTTAAGCTGGGTCACACAGCATCAAGAGACCTTGAAAGTCGAAATGTATGGTGGTCTTGTCGAGTCCTTTGGTAAATTCGGCGAACCCAGTGGTAAAAAAATCGTATTGCCTTCAAGTTTCATCGGGGGCCCCAGGGCAATGGATCAGCTCTATCAAGATGCCATGGCAATAGTCCGGGACTACGGAACTCCCGATTTATTTATCACTATTACTGCAAATCCGGCCTGGAAAGAAATTACGGAAGCAATCCCAAGAGGTTCCGATCCCCTTAATCATCCAACAATCATAGCTCGGATAGCAAAATTGAAATTCAAGGCTTTTACTAATATTTTAATCAAAGACGCTCTTTTAGGACATGTTGTTGCACATGTCTCGACGATTGAATTTCAAAAACGTGGCATGCCGCACATGCATCTGATGTTAACTCTCAGCCCCAGCGACAAACCTGACATGCCTGAACGAGTTGATGCCATTGTCCAAGCTGAAATACCTGATCCCAAAACTGATCCACGTCTACATGCCCTGGCTTCAAGGTGCATTTTACACGGCCCTTGTGAAGGAAAAAATTGCCTTCGGAATGGTCGATGTAGATTCCGTTATCCGAAGCAATTTCAAGAAGAAACGGCATTAGAAGAAGGAGCGTATCCTTTATACAGGCGCAGGAACAATGGCCGAGTTATAACCAAAGGTCCTTTGACCTTCGACAACAGAAACGTAGTCCCATACAATCGGGACTTGTCGTTGATGATGGACTGTCATGTTAATGTAGAAGTCGCTGTGGGTATCCAAGCGGTAAAATATTTATATAAATATATCTGCAAGGGGCACGATAGATCTTACTTGGCTTTGGAGTGTAATGATGAGGTCAAAGCATTTTTAGATGCGCGTTATATTGGCCCGGTGGAAGGTGAGTACATTGTAACTGTTGCATTGGATCAGGATATATGGCTGATAGGTTTGTAACTAGCGGCATGGAGAATATTCCAATTTGAGTTGTCGGACAGGTTTCCTGCTGTACAACGGTTAGGAATACATGAAGAAAACTGTCAGGCCATTTATTATAAGTCAAGAGAAGAGGCCCAAAACAAGTTAGATGACGACAAGGCCCAACGCACAATGCTGAATCAATTCTTCTGTCTCAACCAAAGCAATGCCGTAGGATTAGGGGTTAAAGCGCGTGATTGCTATTTCCACGAAATCCCCAAGTATTTTTCATGGGATAAAAGCGATAACCGATGTCAACCACGCAAAAGAGCTCTCAAGACCGTCGGTTGAATCCATTTTATCTCTATGCATCAAGGCGAGAGATATTATTTACGTCTCATATTGATACACCGGAAAAATATACAAAGCTGGTATGATCTCAAAACGGCGAACGGAACAATATATGGGACGTGCCAAGAGGCAGCTGATGCATTGGGTTTATTATTGAATGACAACCAATACGATGAGGCCTTAACTGTCAGCCTTAGAGCCAACCAAGTTGACCAAAATACTGCCAAAACTGCCCATTTCTATTCAAAATATTATCATATCTTTTTTATCTTAAGACTTTTAACTTTTCTGACTTCAGAAATGGATTCCTGGTGTAAAATTAACCCTAGTCACCACTGACCACTTTTACCCAACTCCATTCCTTCATTGACTTTGTAATAATTCACAGTACTCCAAGAATTATTCCAACCTTAGGTTTCAGCTCCCTCTACCACATGTACATACCAGATTACATAATCCAACTTTGAAAATCCTCTCTGAGCTTGTTGATTCCGCTTCCAGAGGATTTTCAGACTCCAGACCACCCAGAAACCACAACAACCAGTACCAGATCCAGCCTACACTTATCAACCAGAAGAACCTTACTTTTCCTGCCTTTCCCACTACTCAGTGTCATTGGTGTCATCAGTAAGTTACTTCTTTAAGTCCAGCTAGCATCTTTCTGCTTGTTTTCTTTCTCAGTCTCTCTCCCCTTTTTCTCTTACTTCTCTAAACCAAAAGCCCTGATCAACCAAAGCTCCATAAGCTTCAAAGATTCTCTTCTCTTCTTGTTTGGTAGTAAAACTGAAAACTACATAGGTTTCCCTTTAAAGAACC